GAAACTTTCCGATCGCACCTCGTATTTAGAATTTGTGTACATTTTAACAAACACTATATTGTAATTGTAATTTCACTGTTATTCTTCTTCGACTTTTATGGATCGCGCCTTCTGGTCTTATCCAAATTACAATTAACTTCTGAAACTAAATAATTTCAGACATTTGTCATGATTCCTTTGACGGGGAATCTGTCCATGGCAACGCAACAATTCTGGTGCGTTCTCCGCAACTTTAGCCTTCGAGAATGGTAAATAGTTCACTCGTCACTAAAAACGTAACGTACAGGCACATCTTCATCTAGTTCACACCTAGCCCACAGAATGCCTTATGTCTGATCTTGTATCAGCCATGGTGGCTCGACACATCTGCACGTTTTAGGGCTTCAGATGCAACCTCTTATGGTCTTCTATTGTACGTCCCAACAAAGGCAGGGGTTATCTGCTCGGTGCAGGAGAATGGTAAGGTCGCAGGGCTACGCGGTATGACGAATGTCAAGTTCTGTTTCTCGCCTTCGTTGACATTTACACGAATTTCTCTACTGGGCTAACGACAAAACTCATCCTCATTTGTTCATCAGTTTCGTCCCTCACAATTGGCCTGCCATTTTGCAAACATGTCTCACAGAGGTCAAATATATTTTTGTTATTCCCCGCGTTTTGACTGCAGTTAATACAGTTACAGGATTACAACAGCGTTTTACTTATTATTTTTACAGTATATTTTGTCAAAGTTCATTTTGTTCGTCTGCCTTTACAAACTGCTTCATTTCATTCTGTTAAACTCATTCACCACTCACTGATAAACTTCCAAGAGGATATTTCTGCCGTAAAAAATCTGCTGCGGTTCACAAGATAAAATCTGAATTTGGGCGGCGGAGAGCAACATTACCGACTATATACATTTTTAACGAAACCAGTGTTCTTTGTGAGACTCCTAGGTGGTGTGCTTACGCATCGAGTGTTGGGGAGTGACACTAAATATGGCGGTATTCTGGGTCATGACGCACTGCGAACTTGCAAGTAGGTACAAAAGTTTGGGGAGAATGTATCGTTCCTATTTTCAGGGCTGAAGATGGAGGCAGTATGTTCCTCCAGAACGCTGGTACCTACGTATAAACCTACACGGCTTTACAGCCCAGAAGACCACCACTGATATCTTAGCCGCTGTAAGAATGACAGATTTGAGATGGATCGCATATTAACCTCGGTATTAAATGGACGTGTTTGATCAGCTTAACGCTTCGGCCTCCTTTCCCCAGAGTAAATCGGACAGGTGGATGCGTAGAAGCCACCAACACCTGATTATCAGCCTGTAGATATGACAGCATGATAAAATTAAACGGATAAAGGAATAATGGCGGCAAGATTGGACATACTGCCTGAGTACGTTAACTTTAAATGCGGAAAATATGAGAACTAATGAAAGTATTGTAATGCGCGGGGGAAAAACATTCACGTGGAAGACAAATGTTTACATCCACCGGCAGTCTACTTTTACAGTCAATTAAGTAATTTCTCGAGTGTCTTCAGGATATCTTCAGATTCAGAAAACAAATCCAGATTTATCATACAGATTGAATATCGTGGTGTT